CATGCCACCCCCTCCTACTCCCACCCATCCAATCCCTTTTTAAAATTATTATTTTGATGGCAGTGTGTGTCTGGACACATATAAAAAGGAAATGACTAGAAAAGAGAAATGTGTCAGGCCAATTTGATTTTTATCAATGCCAGAGATTCACTTGCAAATTATGTGGGTTTATCATTATCTCCATCTTAGATGCCAAAAAAACAAACAAAAAAACCCAACAAAAAACAAAAAAACCACAGCTAAAACCCCAACTTTAGGGCAGAAAGATACGGTTGTGTTGTTGCTTAAGGAGATTAATAGTAAATTGGATCACACAAAGGTTGCAATAGCTGCTCTGGGCTCTAAATATGAACAGATGGTAGCCTACATTCATTTGGAAAGCAGTACTGGCACACCAGAGTGCAATGCATTTTAATGATGGACTCCATTGAAAATGGAGGGTTCAAATGTGACCCTACTTAAGGACCTACTCATAATCCCATTGGACTCAAGGCAAAAATCCTATTGGTTTCAATAAGAGCAGAATCAAATCCTCAGCTTGTAACATCCAGGGAGAAAAAACCATGAGATAAAGAGCAGGAAAATATCAAGGATAGGCCTACATCCTTCAGGGTTTACCTATTAAGAAAGAGTGAACATTATTCCCTTCATAAATGGTTTAAATGTCCTGGTCTCTGACATGGGATCTTCAATGAGCATAAGTACCCAGAACCCTGACTATCACTCTCCTCTGAAAGACAGTACCTCCAGCAACAAAGGGCACCATAAAACCTTTTGGGGGTATTGGATCAGGATTGACTTGTGCCACCTAAGGAACCACCAATACCACTTCTTGCAGCACCAGAGCATTTCTTGAGGGTCTCTCTTCCAAGTCCCAATCCAGCCCAACCCTGCTTAAATTGTGAATCTGATAAGATCACAGCACAAAATGGCATCACAATAGATAACTATTTTCACTATATATATATATATCACACAATAGACAGTGATTTTCTTTTAGATAGAAAGCTAACATACACAGTATTTTAAACATTCCAAAATGTTTGCTTCAAATTTGTATGTGAAAGGATTTCTTAAGATGCATGTAACTGGAATAAAACAGATTTCATTCTATTTTCTTCCTGAATCTGCTATGTTTTGCTCCAGTTATCAGTCTTCAATGGCAAATACTAATCCTTTAATACCTCATTGGATTGCTGGGCACAAGCAACAAATATCACAGTACTGAAATATGACATGCTGGCTACGATAAACCAGTGCTCTTTTGAACATGTTCTACATGGCCACAGATGACACTTTCTCTTTAGTATTCTCAGTAAAGTGCAACAATGTTTTCTTTGATCTGAGCTTAAAACATTAGTTCTCTTTCAGCGCCTTATGAATTCCTTCAACAATTCAGAAGACCTTGTAATAAACTGTTGCTTGAATTCCATGTTTCTGTGCTTTACAACCAGGATACAAACAGCTGGACTGGCCTAACTTGAAGCTGTCCTCAGAGTGATTTATAAGGTCTAATTAAAAAATAGAGTATGCTGTTGCAAGTTGTTGAATAGCTTTTGTAGTTCATAGGGCCAAACCACTACTATTTAGTCAATTAATTTGTAACAGTGTGCTTAGGGGTGAATATACAGAGAGTGCTATCATTATTATCTACATGTTAAAGGTTACAAGAGGAAATGGCTTTTGAAAATACACGTTAATCCATGTGCTAAAGCTGGGACTCACTTTTGTCTAATATCTGTACCGTGTTAATAATATTCCATTATTGTCTTTCCATTCCAGGAATCCTATCTCTGCTTCTGTACTCTCCACTACACAGAAACTGTTCTCACAGAGGAACCTCAAAGAACCTCATCTGACCAAATATCATCTTCCACTTTGTCCTCATGCTCCTTAATTGCTCTGATGTCTTTGATATCACTCATCACTCCCTCCTTCTTCAGTATGATTCCCAGCCCTCCATTGGCCTTCACATCCCTGGCCTCTAGATTTTCTCTGATCGCTCTTACAACAGCTTATCACATCGGGTCTGAACTTCTTGTTCTCTCCTTCAGTATTCCTGCACAACTTCTCCCTGTCTACATCTTAGGTTTCATTTCATATGTCCTCCCTCATCTCCTTCACTCCATTACTAGTGACACCTTCACAACTGCTTTCATTGCTTTCTCTCAGAATCCTGTCTTTTAACCTTCTTTCACTCAGCCTCCTATACAGAACAAGACTCTCTGTTCCTAGGCCAACAGGCTGCATTTCTTCCCCACATTCAAATCTTTTCTGACTGATAATGCCCACAAACACGTGCCCATAACAGACAAATGTTTTCTCTATCCAACATATCTTTCAGCCTTCCTTCATAGGTCATGTTCTCAAGACCTTTAATCATTCTTGTTGCTCTTCTCTGGACCCTCTCCAATTTCTCCACATCTTTCTTGAAATGCGGTGCCCAGAACTGGACACAATACACCAGTTGAGGCCTAATCAGCGCAGAGTAGAGCGGAAGAATGACTTCTCATGTCTTGCTCACAACACACCTGTTAATATATCCCAGAGTCATGTTTGCTCTTTTTGCAACAGCATCACACTATTGACTCATATTTAGCTTGTGGTCCACTATAACCCCTAGATCCCTTTCTGCTGTACTCCTTCCTAGACAGTTTCTTCCCATTCTGTATGTGTGAAACTGATTTTTCCTTCCTAAGTGGAGCACTTTGCATTTGTCTTTGTTAAACTTCATCCTGTTTAACTCAGACCATTTCTCTAATTTGTCCAGATCATTTTGAATTATGACCCTGTCCTCCAAAGCAGTTGCAATCCCTCCCAGTTTGGTATCATCTGCAAACTTAATAAGAGTACTTTCTATGCCAATATCTAAGTCGTTAATGAAGATATTGAACAGAGCCGGTCCCAAAACAGACCCCCGAGGAACGCCACTTGTTATGCCTTTCCAGCAGGATTGGGAACCATTAATAACAACTCTCTGAGTACGGTTATCCAGCCAGTTATGCACCCACCTTATAGTAGCCTCATCTAAATTGTATTTGCCTAGTTTATTGATAAGAATATCATCGAGACCGTATCAAATGCCTTACTAAAGTCTAGGTATACCACATCCACAGCTTCTCCCTTATCCACAAGACTTGTTATCCTATCAAAGATTTATAATTGCTTCCTGTGACAGGCCATCATTTCTTTTCTTTTTCCTTTTGGGGAGAAAGTTCATAGAATCATAGGACCGAAGGGACCTCAATAGGTCATCTAGTCCTGTCATCTGCACGGAGGCAGGACTAAGTAGTGTCTAGACCAGCAGTTCTCAAACGGGCATCCGCGAGGGTACTCCAGGGGATCCGTGAGTCATGTCCGGGGCCGCCAGCCCCGCTGATCAACTCCTCCCCCTCCCTCTCAGGGCCTCCTGCATGCTGTTGCACAACTGTTCCGTGGCATGAAGGAGGCATTGGGAGGGAGGGGATGGAGTGGGGATGGGGTGTGCTCGGGGGAGGTGGAAGAAAGAGGTGGGGTGGGGGTGGGGCCTTGGGGGAAGGGGTGGAGGGGGCACGGGGTCTGGGGCTGAGTGGGGGTTGAGCACCCCCAGGGAAAATTAGAAGCAGGCTTGGGGGTCTGCGAAAAATTGTAAATCAAAATGGAGGTCCCCGGGTTGCTAAAGTTTGAGAACCGCTGGTCTAGACCATCCCTGACAGGTGTTTGTCTAATCTCTTCTTACAAACCTCCAATGAAGGAGATTCCACAACTTCCCTAGGTAATTTGTTCCAGTGCTTAACTACCAGTTCATCAAGGCTGCACAAGTAATGGAGTCAAACAGTTTGTTTCACCAGGTATTATTGTACAGTATAAAAAACCAAGTTTTTCCAAACAAATGTAGTTTTAACAGTTAGCCTTTTAGTACCATACATTTAGTATGTATTTACCTACAAAGATACTTTGGAACTGAACTCTTTGTGTCTTATGTAGAGACAAATTCTTCTTTCCTTTCTCCCATGGGTTGAATGGAGCTACCACTCCAATCTCTAACATGCTAAAATGAAGGCTGAAAGTTGTAGAGTTCAGCTTGTGAGATAAAAACAAGTCTCTGACAGTATGAAACAAATACACTAGAAACTCTGAAAACTACCTCTTTACTCCTAGGTCTCTTGTGGTGTCCTAATAAGGCTACAGGAACTTTTGAGCATAGTTTAGGAATATTGATTGATTTTCTTCTCCTGAGCAGACTGTATGTATTTTTGAATTCTCAGCCTTTTCTTTTTTACTTAGTTCTTGTTATAAATATTGTTTTATATGGATTTCAATGCACTATCTTTGGAGCTAGTCTGTTATAGAAAAAAATATTTATGTTGTATTTACTTTTGCCTTGCCTAAACTGAGTGCTTTCCTAAAGAATGTAGGGAAAACTATATTTGATTCTGTTGTTGAGTTTGTTTGGTTTTACTTAGAAGATGAATATAATGAAATCTTTAAATAATAGAAAATAAGTATTGGTTATTTTAACTCATTTTCTCCATAACTTTATGCTTTAAAAATCTTTTGGGTTACATTTTATGGGTATATTAACATTTTAAAGTAATATTTATAACAAATCTTTGAATGTTTAGAATTCCTTTCACCAAGTATGTTAGACATTAGTGATTTAAGACTTCAAATTTAGGTAAGTAGTAGTATTTCCATTTTACAATGGTGAAGTGACTTGCCCAAGGTCTTTTTCTACCACCTCATCTTTCATGCCGTATACCCTTTCACCCTTAATATTTATTTTGTCTCATTCTACCATTCACAATTCCATGCTCATTTTCTGCCTGCCTTCTACACCTGGGGCTACCACACTCCTCTTTTACAACCATATGTCTGAGTTCTCCATTTCACTAAACCAGAAAAAATATTATGAAAGTGAAAACTCTTAACACCTCCAGACATTTGATGCCAGGTGTGATTTGTGTTGGAAACCAATCTGGGTGAGCTCTCTAGTCTAATGAATAGTTTGCACTAATTACCTTCCAGAGCATACTTCATATCCTGGGCAAACAGAGTCCACATGATTTCAGCACTGACTTTTCCCATGTTCAGCTCTTGAGGGAACCTGAAATCAACCACATTACATCAGTTCACCTGCTGCTAGAAATTATATGAACAGCTGTACAGCAGAAATGCAAATATTTTTGTATAAAATCACACTGAAAGCATGCACTGCACTATATTTTCTGTTTTGTACAATTATGCTAACCATGTAGGAAGATCAGCCTTCAGTTATGTGCTACTGTCAGAATAACTGTAATAATGAAGTATGTTCTGCACCAATTATATAACAGTACATGAAGTGAGGTCCATCCTTGGTGTAAATCCCCTGATTTCCAATGAGTTATACCAGGGAGGGGATTGGCCCCTGGACCACACTACTGTTCCTAACTCCTTGCAGCACTACTGGCAATCTGAAGACATAGAAGAAACAAGTAAAGTGCAGTAAGATAGGTGAAAAGACTGTACCATTAGTTAAAGCTTTTACTACTCATCTCATGTTTAATATGCTCTTTGAAAATAGTCTGTTTATACAGTGGTTGCCATTAAAAAGTCAATATTTGCATACATTTAAGTGCAAAGTAAGTAAGGAAAAAGAAAGGAAAAACCATGCTACCTCAATTACCATTGTGCAGTAGCTGTTGGCAAAATCTGACTTTTTAATGACAGCCACTGTATGTTTTGTAACAGGTTAAAAAAAAGGGGTGTGTATGTGTGCGTAAATGTCCTGCTCTTGTTCTGAATGTGGAACTCATATCAATATCAAAGGGAGTTCAGGGGTATGGAGCCAGGGCAATTCATGGCCCAAAAATTAGAGATTTGGGAGTCTGGAACATAAATTTAACTTGATAAATGGGACTTTCTGTTAATGCTGAATGTAATGGAGTGTGTAGGTACATAAGAGATTCAGAGAAACATGCCAACTTTTCACCATAAAAACAACAATTATAGGCCAAATTCTATCACCTTTGTTGGGACTCACATGACACTAGTGATGGCCATAAGTAAACAAGCGGAATTTCTCAACGTTTACTGCTTCCATTCACTATCATGAACATTCATTACGCAATCTCACTGTACTCAGAGAGAGAGAAACATACAGTGGTGATTGGCCTATGTAAACAAATTGTTTTCACTCATTTGTAATAGCAATGAGGAGCTGATTTATTTGCATTATTCTGTCATTCAATAAATTATGTCATTCAATAAATTATGTTGCCACAAGAAAATAACCTTGTATATTTCACCAACTTGCTGTGCAGTCTCTACATTCTTTATCCTGTTTATTAATGTACAATGATTCATACCAATTATAAATATCTTATACTGCAAAACCCATTACCCAGAAACAATGTATTAACAAGATTCATTACATAGGACCATGTTTGAGTAATAAGTAAAAATTATCTTCTGCTGCTAAATGTGCTTATGCACATATAAATTATTATGGGTGAAAACTAACTCATTTAAATGGAGGTATTGCTGTATGTTGCATATGATTTGAATCTATATTTTTCAAATACTCTTAGTTTACAGAGGAATGGATAGTTTACAGAGGATTGAAAGAATGCCATTGGTAGTCAACTTCTGTGTAATTTACAGTTTCTGAAATAGAATGCAAAACTCAATCATTTTTCTACTCTCTTTTCCACCAATTATTGCAAAGGAAGTTAAAAACTTGGGTATAGATTTTTCATTGTTTACATTTAGATAGACTTGTCAGAATTCATTTTTTTTAAATAATTTCAATGGATATCAGTGATGTTTGTTTTTAAGCATTTTTTCAATTTTGTTATTGATTTAAATTTTTACAGCTGTGGGAAGTTATGGAGATCAGACAATGCAGAGCTGAGAATAATTATTTAATGACAGTGGACACTGAGATTCAAAAACTTAAAGCTTTATAACCATTAAAACACAAATTGTCAGAATCACATGCCAAAGTTCTCAAGTAGCATTTTTCTTACTTCACTTTTAGGTAAATTTTCATTATCAATGGCAATATTTTTTTCATTGGTTTGAGTGTGTACAGTGAAATTAATGTTTACCCACATTTACTGATAAAAAGCTAATCCTTCCACGTCTACATTTAGATAAGTAGGTTGGATAAATATAAAATAATAACTATAACTGCAGTTAGCTACTGTTTTAATGTGTATTCACCCCACACTTGCCCTGAAGGGGTTAATGTAGACTAAGAAGGGGGCCTATTAACCAGACAGGCCACAGCTGAGGGGAATCAGGTGGTTTAAATAATCCTCTGACTGAACAATGAGGGAGCCCAGGTGAGGAGGACAACTGGGCTATAAAGACAGGAAGTTGGCAGCAGAGATAGGCTGCAGGGAAGCAGTCTGTAGTTATTCACCATAATAACAGAGGTGTGTTTGGGGCTACAAAAGCAAGTAGCCTAAAGTTACTCCCTGGGAGGATGGAGTTTTGAGGCTGGCAAAGAGAAGGGTGGAGCCAGAAGATTAGGAAAGCATCAGGGAAAAGCAAATAAGGTTCAGCATGGACGAGACCTTGGCTGCTGATTAGAGGGTAGGCCTGCATTCCCCTACTGGCCATTGGGGAAGTGGCACCAGATAGGCAGTGTATGCGAAGACTGCTTGACTCCATTCATAAGATGATCCTTTGATAACCCAGAAAGGGAGGACATGTGACCTGGCCAGAGGGCTAAGGCATGAACACAGGGCGCTTGCCTCATTGAGAGCCAGAAAGAAGGCGGAGCATGTGGCGAGAGGTGGAAAGGAGATGTCTGACCTGGAATCAGGTAATCCCCAGAGTGACCAGAAGGTGGCGCACTTGGGGTAAGCAGACTCCTGTGACACAACCTGAAAGTGCAGGGTTATAGAAAAATCAATCATAAATACTGAAAAATAGTCTTAAGAGTTTGGAGGGGTATCGGCCAATCACTAAACAATTATGAAAGGCTGAAACCTAGCATAAATCTACATTTCTGGAAAGATTTAGATGAGAAGGAATCTTCCTCCCCAGCTCTCAGAACTCAGCATAGGCTCTCAGCAGGTCAAACAGTTTCAGCTGGCCAGTCTGTTCTCTTCACATATCAGACCTCTTTGGATCCTCCCATGCCGTTCTTGCTGGGATGCTCCTGACCCAATACATAAGATTTAAAGACAACAGATGACTCAGAAGGAAATGCCAGACTTGCTATTGGACACAGTGGAATTTCAGCAAAGGTAGGTGTGAAGGCTTGTAGGTTATGAGTAGGGTCCTACCAAATTCATGGTCCATTTTGGCCCATTTCACAGTCATGGGATTTTTAAAATCCTATATGTCATGATTTCAGCTATATAAATCTGAAATTTCAGGGTACTATAATTGTAGGAGTCCTGTCCCAAAAAAGAGTGTGTGTGTGGGGATCACAAAGTTATTGTAGGGGGGTTGCGGTACTGCTACCCTTACTTCTGAGCTGCTGCTGGCGGCACTGCGGCAGTGTTGCCTTCAGAGCTGGGCAGCTGCTGGCCAAGAGCCCAGCTCTGAAGGTAGAGCTGCCACCAGCAGAAGCACAGAAGTAAAGATGGCACAGTGTGTAGGGTTACCATATTTAAACATTAAAAAAGAGGACACTTCACGGGGCCCTGGCCTTGCCCCTTCCCCGCCCCCGGCCCCGCCCCAACTCCGCCCCTTCCCCGCCTCCTCCCCTGAGTGCCCAGCATTCCCCCTCCTCCCTCCCAGCCACGTGAAACAGCTGCCCGAGCACTACCGGCTTCACAGTTTGCCGGGCAGCCCCCAGACCTCCAGACCCTGCGCCCCCAGCCGGGCGCTTCCCCAGCGCAGCCGGAGCCCATGAAGCACACCGTGAAGCTGGTAGCGTTTGGGCAGCTCGGCTCTTCAGCTACACAAAGCTGAGGTGTCTGGGGGGAGAAGCAGCAGCCGCCGCAGCGGGGGAATCCGCCTGCAGCTCGCAGCCTGCCGGAGCCACTCTAAGGTAAGCAGGGGACTGGGGCAGAGATGCCGGCAAAACAAAGCTGGGACTATTTTCCCGGACATGTTCGGCTTTTTGGCAATTCCCCCCGGACGGGGATTTGAGGACCAAAAAGCTGGACATGTCCGGGAAAATCCGGACGTATGGTAACCCCAACAGTGTGGTATTTCCACCCGAACTTCTGTACTGCTGCTGGCAAGGTGCTGCCCTCAGTCAGCAGCCACCACTTTCCGGCTGCCCAGCTCTGAAGGCAGCAGTGCAGAAGTAATGGTGGAATGGCATGGTATGGTATTGCCACCCTTACTTCTGTGCTGCTGCTAGCGGGGTGCTGCCTTTCGGAGCTGGGCGCCCGGCCAACAGCCACCACTCTCCGACCACCCAGCTTTGAAGGAAGCGCAGAAGTAAGGTTGGCAATATTATGACCCCCCCCTAAAATAACCTTGTGACCCCCCTGCAGCTCCCTTTTGGGCCAGGACTCCTGATTTGAGAAACACTGGTCTCTTCTGTGAAATCCTGTATAGTATAGGGTAAGAGCACACAAAAGACCAGATTTCATGGTCCGTGATGTGTTTTTCATGGCCATTAATTTGATAAGGCCCTAATTATGAGGAATGGGATGGAAAGTGGGGCACAAAAGGAAGCAGTCATGAGGATAATGGGAAGTTACTCAATCAAGATTCAAAGGCTCAGCCACACATCTAGTTGTATTCATAGGGGAACAAGATTTGGGTGAGATGGGGTAAGGAAAAGATAATCCAGTACAAGAGAGTAAAGGTCTAAGTGGGTTGAGCAGAGAGGGAGGGTGACAGATTAGTCAAGGATGTGACCAGTTTAAAGAAGAGGAAAGGATGAAGAAAACCTCAGAATGCCTGGATTATGTTTACTGAACATGGAAACTGGGTAAAATTTAATTAAACCACTAAATGTTTAAGTGATTACTAATGCCTAACAAACTCAGGAAAAGCAAGAATACTGTGATTTAAAGCCAACAATCCAGTATCCTGATGTTGTGGGGATTACAATCCTATCATATATGCTGCCATAACTTCAGTAAATACTGAAAAGTGAGTTTAAGACAAAGGGACAACCTTACATGGTCTCTTGCTTTCCTGGGTTTA